AAGTGATCGGCGATGGAATTCAAACGTAATAGTGTGATTGCTTTATGTTTAGCTGGAAAATTACAGCCAGCAATTGTTTGAGCTCAAACACCTTAATGCAAATAAAGTTTTTGTTTATCGCTCCATCACTCGTTACAATGAAAACGCCATGGAGGTGGTCATCAAAAGACTGCAACATCACGTGAGATGGTTCGGAAAGTGAAGAAGCGACTTGAGCGAAATCCACGACGAAGTGCAGCATCCGACGCATATTGAAAAATTAGCTCAAGGTCAAGCCTAATTTTCCAAACGAATTTATGGCTTTTTTAATTGGTGTGCCGGACCCTGTAAATCTATATCTCTTTCGATTGGTTTTAGGTGATACAAAAAACCGTTATGTGTTACTCCTCTCTAGCATCATGTTGCAAGAATAAAATGTTAGTAAATTTTTGAACGAGAATTAGTATAATAATGCCTCCTAGACCTTTGCCATTTTATAAATTCATCGTATCGCAGTCGTCTTGGTTCAAAGTATCAATATTCAAAAAGTAAAATGAAATATTCAATAATTCAATTAAAATTTTGACAGAATTGAAAAGCTAATAACTTAGACTTGACCTTATATGTTCAATGTCAATGATCAAATGTAACTCATAATGGAGACTAAGTTTTCTAATATCTCTTGGCATCTTACTACAAATGAAGTTTCAAAAGTTTAAGCATCATACTCAATCGATTTTAATAAATTTAACCGGTATCCATTTGTTTTTTATCCTATTAAATATTTACCATAGATTAAAAATTAATTCTGTTGGGGATATATAATAATACAATTTTTGGATTTGATTTGAATTTGTTAAATCTTTGTACCGATATTTCAAAAATGCTGAAACTATTACAAAAATAAACTTTAGCCACACACAGAGGCGGGATATCCAATTTTCTCTGAGTGTATTCAGAATAAAACTTAAACAGTACATACGAGGTTTGTATAAAAAGTATCGCGAATTTTGTATTTCTGAGGAAAGTTTATATTTTTCATGAATATCTAGTTTCTCCCCTTCAAAGCAATAATCCTCAATCCTCAAAGCACTTAAAAAAGTAATTTTTTGTGAATTTGTTTAGTTCCTCCTTTGATGCAATTTTTATCTCCTCAATCAGTTTTGGGAACAAAAAAATCACAGTAGCCAGGCCTATTAAATATTCGCGCACAAGCTTCATCAGGCGTGTTATCATGGTGCAAACGGCTATTTTTGTTCTTCTTCATCAAATCTGGCTTCGCGCAAATTGCGCATGACTTGCCGGTAGTATTCTTTATTGACGGCATGGCTGTTTGGTAAGAACTCGTGATGCACCACGGCACCCCTTTTTTTTTGTTTTTTTTTTGACATGCTCTCGCATCCAGCCGCGTCCACCTTTTCAAAAGGTTTTGTACCAACAATAATGCTTCTGCGCACTTATTGTAGTTTTTCACACAAAATTTTAAACAGATACTTTGATGTTGTTTTTGGAATAAGTAAAAATCAAAGACGAACCAATAAGTGACCAAATCGCTATCAAGGGATATGTGTACCAAGATAGCGCAAAAAAAAAAAAAAAAAGCAATAACACGGAGCTCTCGATAATGCAAAATTCGCGATACTATTGGTACAAACCTCGTATGCATATATACATTTCCTTCATATGGACTTCTGTATGCTTATCGTTTCAAATTCGCTCAACAGTCATTTCGCATGCTTGCCTCATATTATCAAGAAAACTGTACCACACATATGGATTAAAAAGTCGCATTCCCATTCCCGTTATCTCTTATATTGCTTTTGAGAATATTCACCTACATTTCGAAGCTAAGCGAAAGGAATGAAAGTGAAATCTGCACCTTAAAACAAATACCGGTGACATGTCCTTAGCGTACGACAGATCTTCGTTTTGCCAATATGTACATAAGTATATATAACATACTTTTTTGCAATTAATTGTAACTAGCTCACGAAATTTGTGCCGAAGCTTTTTCATAGATTTTATATGTGTATTTCCGATATCTTCCTTTTTGTTTGTTTGTTGCCATGGCTGCTTACATATCTACATAGTGTCGTTTACGGCGGCCTGTTTATTTAAAGGAAGGAGGTTGTTTATGGTGGCTGGCAAGTTCAAGGACGTTCGTTATGCGTTACTTTCATTTCAACCGTTATCCCCTTACACTCATGTTTGTTTTTGCTTATTCATAAATTGCATAAATTCGAGTATTTTTGAATTTTACTGTGACGCCTGTAGCTTTCATCCATTTTCTTTTTGCGCGAATTGCGTGTGACAAATTTCGAATTCTAAAATTTTTATATTTTTCTTGGTGTGAAATTTTGTGCGTAACGCAATTTGCTTCAGCAACTAGGAAAAAATTACACCAGCTAAAAAAACGAGAACTTTACCATTTGGCTAGGAAATCTCGCTGCGAGACAATTCTATTTGTCTTATTGTTGCTTTACTAAGTCTGCCAAATTTTAAAATTACACAGTTGTGATTGTTTGTTCTTAAATTTTAATTTTATGTAAATCCGTTTTTTGTGGCACAAGTGCGCGTAGTTCCCTTTTAACTTTCGGCGTGTGTTGACGCTCATAATCGTCGCTTTTTATTGAGCAATGCACTTGCCTGCACATTCTTAATTCTGACAATGCGATGCTCTTGTTTGGTGACATCATTTCGAACGCGACCAAATAAGTTGTACGAGATTTGAATGTTGTCATTTTCAGGTCATGTGTGAATGCTGATAATTATATACAGTAAGTATTATGAAACAAATGTAGACTACAATGAAAGTTCTGAATCTTAGAGTTGTTAGTACCTCATTGCGTTTGTGTAATGACTAGTGACTCCTCAGGAACGATCTAAAAGGTAATACGTGCAGTGGTGTATATGTGTTATGCAACGAAAGAGTTTCTAAACTCAATCCGATCTGGGTGATGCATCCGTTGGATTCAGTTTGTTGCCATACATAATTCAGCAAGACAGTCAACAATGTTCGACAAGTTCTATAATTCGTAGGATACACGTTTACAGTCTAAGTAATATTTTAAAGTATAAAGAATATCAGTCGTTTATGCAATTATAAACCGAAAATGGGTTTGAAATATATGTATTTGACTATAATTGTTCTTTAACATGGAGTAATTAAATATCTGTAATTTGAATATAAATATGAATGGTTTTTAATTGGTGTCAATAGTGTTTTAATTTCGCAAAACGATTTTGTCGTAATAAGTTAAAAGTTATAGAGACATTTCCTACAAATGCTTTTATTTTGGAACAATATAAAACAAGCCCTTGCCTTACACATAACTCATAAATTATTGTATACCAATTGTAAGTAAGGATGTCCTTTCAATATTTGGACTAAGATTTTTATTTATTTATTTAATTTAAATTTAGATGAGCCCATTTTTTTCTCAACATTTTAAATATTAAGCGATTAGAAGAAATTGTTGTTGAATTTATAATACAATGGTTGCCTTTTCTATTTCGGAATTAGAGAAACAAAAATATTGATCATCGAAAATGGCTGAATGGTTTCCATTACACTTTTGCATGCGTTTGAACCTCTTGTCGCCAATCTGGTTAAGTTATCTCCAGCATATGCGTTCTGACACGTCCAGTTTTTCCAAATTCCCGGTATTTTTTTATCATTGACGAATTGTGTGGGATCTACCGTAAACAAATTTATTTACATTCAAATGTTAATGCAATATTGTAACTGTGATAGTCCCACTAAGGCCTATAGTTGTCTTAATGCCACGATAGATCACATGACTTGACGATCCTGCAATAACAGTTTGCATCAATACTTTTCGGAACAAAAACTGATTTTGGACGACCTTCGCGAAATTCGTGTTGAAGTGATCCACGGCCTCGGCTGAATTCATCCCACCATCGATAAACACTGGTCCTTATGGAGCTTAATCGTCAAACATTTAATTAAAATTGTCTATGCACTCTGTATGAGTTAATTCACGGCGAAAGTTGTAAAACATTATCGCGCGATAATGTTCGTGATTTAATTACATTTTTTGTCCGAGGTGAATATTTTAAGTAACTATAAACAAATTGTATAAGTAGCGCTGTCAAAACGTTCTGAGTATGTCAAACTTTACTTTATTATGGGTTGCCCAATCCTGAAATATAAAGCACAATCTACGTGTCTTTGTTAACAACTTGCAACTAAATTTTCGGCATTTTCCACAGGAAGAGACATCCAGGTATGTTGAAGTAGCCAAATGAACACTTTTGTTGGATCAAATATTTTCCTGATATTTTGGCTTTCATTAAAGCCCAAACATTTTTCATTGGATTGGCGTCAGATGATTTCTAGTTTTGGAATTGAATTTTTGTAGTATCCAATCTGATTATTTTTGACGTAAAGCATTTGAGTTGACTTCAGTACATTTTAACATTGTAACGGCATTCAGATTTTCTGTAAAGCACCCCAAAACCCCAAATCCTTGCGAACAGCAGCATTCATATCCCTTTTACTGAATTATTTACAATGTTTTTGCTTAAATTTGCTTAAAATTTCAAAATAGCCTCATATACAAATCTAATATTACGATTTTCGAACATCCGGCTAACTTTACTCCATATATGTACATATGTATGTATATTAAAAACTCAGTGAACATTTTATGAGTACGCGGTATAGTAGTCAATAGTCATTATGTATACTGAACGTTTAAGGGACCTTATGCCTCGAAACGACATTTTTCAGAATTGCTGACATCTTAAATCAACGAGCAATTGACCGATCAACTTCAAATTAAAACTAAATAATGTAAAAAATTTACTATACAAAGACCTACGATCGTTTTGATTGGTTAAAAATTGTCAGTTTGGCATAAAAAAAGACCACTTTTTACAAAACTACGCCATTTTGATAATTATTGATTGATTGATATTTTTCGAAGATCGTAGATCATTGTATAGGAAATATCTTTAGGTTTAATTAAATTTGAATTTTTTTGTTTCAGCTACTCATTTGGCCGGAATAATGTCAGCACAATCAGCAAGAGCTCCGTTATTTTTCAAAACTTTTGTAAAAAAAATCTTGAAATATATATAAAATCGCCAAATTTTTCTTGGGTTATACTGGTATAGCCCCTTAAAGCTGCAAATATGTGAAATTAATCTACGAAGCTGACCGGTTACGTTTTCAGATACTGCAGACGGTAGTTAATTTAAATGAAAAATCAGTTTTGTTCTTTTTGGGAAAATACACATTTTTTGGTGAAACTTTAGTTTTTTTTACAGTGATTCGTGATTGCAAGAAGGCAACGCAACATACTGAATTTTCACCGAAGGCTTACCGTATTGCCACACTTTGAACTAATGACTACTAAATACTTTGATATTGTTATCAATTCCTAAAAATTTAAAAGAAACTTTATGTATAGAGCGGTTAGGTTGGTTTTAATAAAGTACATTAATTTCATAGTATTTATTAAAAAAGAAACAAACGGATTTCGTTTGCCAAATTAGTCCAGATCTGCTATCCATAAATCATATGTGTACATATGTAGAAGCGCATGCAAAGTTGTGTGTACGATAATTAAAATTTAGCTAGAAATAGTTTTGTCGATTTTGTGGAAAGCAGGTATTCTTCTTACGAGTCGGTTTGTTAATTATACCACAAATCGAATATATTGTACTGTAAGTATTTATGTGCACACAATTGACATGCATACAGATATATATGTACTTACAATTGAAACACAAATGTGGCAGTAAGATTCTATAAGTATTTCAATTTCTGCCATTTGGTCTTTTTGTGGTTGCACAGCTGTTATTAATCTATTTTTTGACCATTTGGGTTGTATATTGTTTATTGGAATTCGCATCAATTGGAAAATGTGGAATTTATTTTACTTCACTATGCCAATTTAAACAGTATATGCTTCTGATTAAAAGATTATTAAGAAACTCTATTTCCATTATTTAATCAGGTCACATTAATAAAAGTGCGTTTGCTTTCAGTTACTTGCATTTTTTTTATTTTCATTACGTTTTAGACCCTTTTCCATTACGATAAATTTCCTTTATAATTTTCATTTTTACACACAACAAGCATATGTGTGCAATTTCTATGGAAGTGTGGAATTTTAAATATTGTTGCAGAATTTAATTTGTTTTATAAAAGTTGCGAATGATTTTTGTCATGCTGTCTGCGCAAGCCAGAGGTCAAAGAGTCAATTTTACTTGCGAGTACACTGTGCCTAAGTTTTTAGTAATGTGCTTTACATACATTCATACATAAATTTATTTATCTATGGTATGTAATGGAATGGTGCATTGCATCAATAAAAATGATAGACATGACGGAATTTACAAAATTGCCACCAGAAAAAGCTGAATTTACTTAGTTTCCAAATCAGGTAGAGAAAATATTTTTCAACAATAGCGGAATTTTCGGAATGTGTGTATTCTTATACCCTGAATAAACTATATAAAGTTTTCCGCGAAGTTTGTAACACTCGGTTAGCTCAGTCGACATGGATAATATGATACGAAACTTTAGCATTGGCTCTCTTTTTCTCTCAAACGCGTTCCCTGATTATTTGACAGCGATGAAGATCAGGGAATTGCTGACAATTGATTTCAGAAAAGGCATGATGCCAGAAGTAAACCGCTATAATTACCTGACAAAATTAGCGGGAAATGAAATTTCATTGAACTGTGCGAACATATTTTGGCAAAATAAATGTTTATGTAAATTAATTAATGATTTTGCATTTTAGCATTTATATATGTATGCATTTTCAAAGTGTTTAACTTAGTGTTTTGTATAATTTATTAAACACCCAATCTAATATTTTTCAGCAGTGGCATCAATGACAAATGTTATAAAAAATGCGAGTTTTGACAGCTCTCTCTCGAATCAAAGAGTTTCGTATCATATTATCCATGCAGTCGATTTAGCCGTGTCCGCCTGCCTGTGTCCGTCTGTATATACGCGAACTGGTTCCTTAGCTTTTAAGAAAACAATCAGACATTTTGCGCATATCCTTTTCTCCACAAGAAGCTGCTGATTCGTTGAAGCAGCTGATGTCGAGCCAACGTAAGACATACTGCCATACAAACAGAGCGGCAAAAGTCATGTCCTTGTTTTGGAAAACTTTTTTGTTTTGGTAAGTTATCTTCTCAGACTTTGACATAAGTAATTCCCCGAGGCAACACTACACTCTCTTTTTATACCCGTACTTCGGTGCAGCCAAAGTTAACATTTTTGCTTTCTTTTAATAAATAATGTCAATGGTTTACTTCGAAAACGTCTTTCGACTTCGTTGCAATGCATACGAAAAAATTATGTTCTGTAAATCATTCGAAATATTTGTGAAGTTAAATAATGCTTTGAGGCTCATTAACCCGGTATTCTATTGACAGTGACAGTTAAAATCGCGTATCACAAATAAACTCCTTTCTTGACATTTTGACAACGATGACGCAATCATTTTGATATTTTTCTTAATAACTGTTTTATTAATTTATACTAAATTTCCATTGAATTCAGATATTATGACAAAAAATGTAGTTATGTTGTATTTAAAAGATTCTCCTTCTTCGTTATTGGCGTAGATGCTGCTTACGCGAAAATAGCCGATTAACAAAGCGCGTCAGTCGTTTCTTCTTTTCGCTACTTGCACCAATTGAATATTCCAAGTTAAGCCTGGTCCTTTTCCGCCTGGTCCTTCCAACGGAGTGGAGGTCTTCCGTTTCCTCTGCTTCCCCGGTGGGTACTGCGTCGAATACTTTCAGAGCTGGAGTGTTTTCGTACCTGTGATTGTACCTGCTCCATTAAGTTCTGCAGCTCGAATTATTTTTTCCAGCAGCAGATTGAAGAAGTCGCACGATAGGGAGTCGCCTTGTCTGAAACCTCTTTTGGTATTGAACGGCTCAGAGAAGTCCTTCAGGATCCTGACGTAGCTTTTGATATAGCTCAATGTCAGTTTACACATCAGCATTAGTTTTGCGGGATACCAAATGCAGACATCGCCGCATAAAGACAGCTTTTTTTCCTGGCGTTATACTTTCTCTGCCGTTCAGCAGGCTGGAGAAGTGTTCCCTCCATAATTTTAGTATGCTCTCGGCATCGTTTAATTAGAGCAGATTTCATTGGTTATGAATTCATTCTCTGTCTTCTTTTGAAGATGCAGTAATACATTTTCCCAGTATGCTTATACCTCTCATACGTTTTTTTTTATAAGAAAATACAATTTCAATAAGAGTTAAAATAAATTTTACCCGATTGTTTATTTATCGCAAAATGTTCACAATACTATCATAATCAACTAACGGTAATTTATAGCACCTTTAAACAATCAAGATGGATGTCTGAGCAGAGTTGTTGCAATATTATGCCCATATGTACATACTATTAATTACTATATCATAAGTGTGAGCCATAAGCATGACGCTGCCTCATTTTAGATGGAATATTAGTCCCACAAACCCCTTGGCGCATTCTTATTCCTTCTTTGCTAGTGTAAAATGGCACAAACTTGACCGACAACCAGTTTATATCAATTCTCGAGTTGTTAAAGTAATTTTCCAGAATAGTCAGAAGTTACACGGAGCTAAATCTTGCGAATACGACGGTTGCGGCGCGATATTGGTTGAAAATTTGCCGATAAACTCACGGTGTATTCGTGGTGCAAAACTGAAAAGTTTTCGGCCCAGTTTGGCCGGTCAGAAAGAATTCGGAGTGCTCCACACTTTTATAATCGAAGAAAACTGCCAACATAACCCCTTTCATTTTTGACCTGTTTTGAGTGTTTTTTCGGCTTCGGCTCACGATATTCGGGTGATTGATCGTCTGTTTCCGGGACATAAGCATAGAATCAAGACTTCATCACATCCTGGTAATTGGAAAGCATTATTTGACAGACCCTACGCTGTGTTTCGAAAATATTTAGCGATTTTGGAAACAACTGGCCAGTAAGAATTCTGACTGAAAATCGTCGATTTTCAAGCACCAAATCCTTTATTTTATTGACGTATTTATTATCAGTTGAAGGCGATGATCGTCCTGGACGTCATTCGTCATCAATGTGTTCTCGACCCTCTTTGAATAATTTGTACCATTTAAAAACACTTGCTCGAGACAAAAAATTATCAGCGAAGGCCCTTTTGAACATCCTGATCGTTTTGGCACCAGAAATTTGATTCCGCACACAAAATTTAATGAAGTCTGGAAAGAACATTCTTGGTTTTTACACCACGATAATGCACCATCCCATACTGCCCTCGTATTTCGTGATCATTTCGCCAAAAACTGAACCCATATCGGTCCGCAACCACCGTATTCACCTGATCTGGCGCCGTGCGACTTCTGGYTGTTCACCGAGCTCAAAAGACCGCTCTAAATAAAGAATTTTCAAAATAAATACAATGTCACCTTATTTTTTGGGCACAGGTATAAGAATAACAGTCTATATGTACATACATATGTATATATGTATGATAGAAACTAAATAATCCCTTTGTTTAATTTTTTTATAGATAACTTCATTGCTGCGTCCTCGCGGCCATTTGAAACCCATTGACGGTAAGCGATCGGACCCGTCGGAAACTACCGCTGAGGAAACAGCAGAGTCAACAGATTGCAGTGCCATATCTGTCGGATTAGCGCAACAATTCGAAACACGAGTGCCACCGACAAGAAGCGAAGAATTTATACCAACACTAGATTTTGTGATACATGAACCTGTTGCTACAGAGCTCGACGTTCAACATGTGGCCGATATACTCTCACAGCTCGAACTCGATACATTCAACATCAACACTACAAATAACTCGACAAACGACGATGATGAAAACAGTGATAATAATTCAGCACACACATATGTAATTAACCGCGTTGGTAGTACAGAGGTCTATAGCAGCAGTACTAATACTGAGGAATTACTGCGACAGGAGATAATCCCTTTTACTCGCACAGACACTACGACGGAATCCTCACTTGTTTACGAGCCAACTAGCTCAATATCCATTGAAATGGACAATTTAGGAAAAAGTGCAACAACGGCAACAACAACAACGCCGACAACGACCGATGAAGTGCCTGAGACGACAAGCACGACGTCTCGTAAGAATAGTAACCCAAGTGCCATCACCACAGTCACAACGTCCAGCAGTGGTGAGCAAAGTATAGAGGAGGAAATTGAAGAAGCCATTGAAATTAGTGAAGAGGATGTACCAGAATTGTCCGTAGCGCATTCTTTGGAGTCATCAAAATCAGCAGGCTATATAAAGCCAATTTCAATAAATAAACAAAAAATGCAATCTGATCAACATTTAGAAGAGGAAGACAGTTTCCTCCATTCAATGAGGAATGTGAATAAAATAAATGCCAGTGAAGAAGAAGACGAACAATTCAAAATTGACGACGCTCAATTGTCTGGTGGAAATATAGC